GCTCCCCGAGCCCCTACAGCCGCCGCCGCTCCCCTAGCTACAGCCGCCACAGCTCCTACGAGCGAGGCGGCGACGTGTCCCCCAGCCCATACAGCAGCAGCAGCTGGCGCCGCTCCCGCAGCCCTTACAGCCCTGTGCTCAGGTGAGTCCCGCGGTCCTGTCTGGTTGCTTCCACTGCGCAGGCCCGACCCCCAGGAGACAGGGAAAAGTGGTGATTTGACTCTTTAAAATCTCCCGGGTCCACAGCCTCGACGAGGGGACGCAGCTTGAGTTTTCGCGCGTCCATGACACCTTTAGGGTGTCGGAGGGACAAAGCAACAGAGCGAATGAATTTTCCTTCTAGCTCTAGCAGGGAACGTTTCTAGAAGTTCGAAGTTTTGAACTTGTTGCGTTAGTGTATTAGTAGGTTTCTCTCAGCTGCCCTTTGCTTTCCTGGCACAGATTGTGTGAAACTAGAGCTAGTTTAATTTGTCTGAATTTTGAAAGTTCTATGAAGAGTTGTCACTGTCGGAGATTTAGGAATAGACCGCAGCTTAGGGACTAACATCTACACTGTAAATCAGAATCAGCTGCTGATGTCATAGTTAGTTATAGATTGCAAATCTTTCATATGATTATTAAAGGGATGGGAAAACAGCCTTTCTGTAATGTTTATATTTTTTAGTAAAAAGCTGTGTGACTGATAGCTCTGTATCTGAAGATGAGGAAGATAGCTATTTTGTAATATTGTGTGGGATCTTTTTTTTTAACCTGGTCTTTCTAACTCATAATTTTAAAAAGAAAAAAATGGACAAGATTGTGGTTTCTCACTTGGTTTGTGATGATGACCCAGCTGCTAATAGCATTATTATAAATATAATTGGTGTAACCCAGAGTAACCAAGTGGATGGCTTAGTGCTTTCTTATACTGTTATAAACTTGTAACTGCTTACTTGAAAGTTAACTGGACCTTTAAATATCAGGACCTTTGTCAAAGGTATAATTTAGTGAAATTGGAGTCAGACTTTTATGTAGTTGTTATACCTTCATTGTTAAAGTATTTTCCAAAATGTATGTGTGCATTGACCTAAGAGGAGTCTTCGAAAAGTTAATGAAAAGTGCATGTTATTAACAACTGCACGGATTTCAGAGGGTTTTTTTGCACCAAAATAAGCTAGTACTTTAATTTCATTTTCCGTTAACTTTTTGAAATCCCCTCAGATATTTACCCACTGTGCAAAATGAATTAGAACAACTTTCGCATATTTTGTGGTTTCTCATATTCCTGCAGATGTCTGGAAAATTTTGGTCTTGTAGTTTAGGCATTGCAAAATGACATTTGTATTGCTGTTCTTTTCCTGATGGTTGCAGTTTTTAGTAATGCCAAGTGATTGGCTGCTGAGTATCTTTTAAGTAAGGGTTATGCTGAATTTAGTTATAATATATGTAATCGTAAAATTAGCAGATCTCTTCGAAGTGTTAGCCTAGGAAGAGGTTGTAAAGATAGGATATGAATGGATTTGACTTTAGGTCAGAAGAGGTAAATTTCTTCACTCTGACTATGTCCAAGCACGCTTAAAATGCTATTCGATGTTTTAAGCAAAGAATAGCACATTAACAGCTCATTCACAAAATTCAGCCTATATCTTGATAATACTTTGTATTTTATTTTTAATTCTAATATTTTAGGTTTGCAGAATGATTTGCATTATTTACAGTTTGCCTTGCAGACTGAGAAGGTTAAGTTCCAGGATTTTAGAGAGCAATTTTAAGTGTGTAATGCAATTTTAAGGGTTATTTTGTGTTTATTGGGCTTTTTGGCTACTGGATTCTTTAGCAGGGTCCTTTATTATGTAATAGTGCTATAGGTTTCATATGTTATTACAGTATGTATGACTAAAATTACCACACTTAATATTTAGCAAGTATTTATCCAGCATGTATTATATGCCAGATACTGTCTCAGTGACTGGCATATACAGCAGGGGAAAAAGAAAAGTCATTGCCCTCATGGAGCATGGGTTCTTGATGATTGTTCACTACTGAATCTTTTCATAGTGTTTATATTAATCATCAGTATTTTATTTTTTGAGATAGATTTTTGTTAGAGTGTGTGTGCGCTTGCCAGAGAGACAGTGAGAAATCACCCCCAGGGAGGGGGAGTGGGCATAGCCATGCTGCAATCCTTTCTCCATTCTCCAGGATTTGGGAGTACTCTCATGCATATGCCAGGTGTGAGGTTTAAGTCACTAGGTCCAGGACTCGAACTTCAGACTCAAACCTCTGCAGACTACATGAGAGTATAGTGATGTAACCATTTTGCCACCTGCTGGTCTCAGACATCAGTATTTCTCAGGATTGGATTTGGAGGAATCTTTATCCTGGTCAACATTCACGATAGATGACATTTGGTATCTGCTTGAATACATCTAGAGGTGTGAAGCACATTACTTTGAGGCAGCTGAGGTCCCAAGATTTGGGACTTGAGTTCAGGTTTAACCAGTTTTTTAGCAAGGCTCTTAAAAACTCAAATTTTTAAATTGAAAAGGGGTAATACTTGTTCTTTTTAAATCATTTCAAGGATTAAATGAAAATTTGCCTTTTGAAAGTTTATACCCTTACAGAAATAAATAATGATTGAATTATTGTTGAATAGCTTGAATTGTAAAAATTCATATTGAAACAGAAATTCACCTCCATGTAACTTCTACCCATTGTTTCAAGTTTAACCCTTTGGAATGGTACAGAGAAAGGTTTTTTTTTTTTTTTTTTAAGAGTATTTTTTGCTTTAGGGTGCATGCACTGACTAGAGAGACAGAGACAGTAAGAGGGAAAATAATTCTCAAGCCATCAGGTCCAGGACTCGAACCATCATTGGCCACGT